ACCAGGCGAGGTAGTTAACATCTCCTAGCCACCATGATGATGATGAGAGAGAGACGCAGACTCCATATCTACAGCAGCAGCAGGCATCGTCAGGGTCGGGATGGAACCCACGACCTCCTGCGTACCAGGCGAGGTAGTTAACGTGAGTTTGTGTATGTGAGTGTGTGTATACCTTAGAGTGTGTGTATGTGTGTCTGTGTGTGTGTCTGTGTGTGTGTCTGTGTGTGTGTGTCTGTGTGTTTCTGTGTGTGTGTATGTGTCTGTGTGTGTCTGTGTGTCTGTGTGTGTCTGTGTGTCTGTGTGTGTATGTGTGTGTGTATGTGTGCTATATGTGTGTGTATGTGTGTACGTGAGTGTGTGTATGTGTGTGTATGTGTGTATGTGTGAGTGTGTGTATGTGTGTATGTGTGTGTGAGTGTGTGTATGTGTGTTTGTGTATGTCTGTGTGTCTGTGTATGTCTGTGTGCTTCTGTGTGTGTGTCTGTTTGTCTGTGTGTATGTGTGCTATATGTGTGTGTGTATGTGTGTGTACGTGAGTGTGTGTGTCTGTGTATGTCTGTGTGTTTGTGTATGTCTGTGTGTGTGTTTCTGTGTGTGTGTCTGTGTGTGTGTATGTGTCTGTGTGTGTGTGTGTCTGTGTGTATGTGTGTGTGTATGTGTGTGTACGTGAGTGTGTGTATGTGTGTGTGTTTGTGTGTGTGAGTGTGTGTGTATGTGAGTGTGTATGTGTATGTGTGTGTATGTGTGTGTATGTGTGTGTATATGTGTATGTGTGTATGTGTGTGTGTGTATATGTGTATATGTGTGTGTATGTGTGTGTATGTGTGTGTATGTATGTATATGTGTGTGTATGTGTGTGTATGTATGTGTGTGTATGTGTGTATGTATATATGTGTATATGTGTGTGTGTTTGTGTGTGCGTTTGTGTATGTGTGTATGTATATATGTGTATATGTGTGTGTGTTTGTGTGTGTGTGTTTGTGTGAGTGCGTGAAGCCGTCCCACATTCTTCCGCGTGTTTTTCTCTCTCTCTATCTCGCTGTCGGGAAAATCCGCGCCGCTCCCCATAAAGACTCCGTGCGTGGGGGGCGAGAGGCGCCACCACAGGTGAGTGAGACTCTAAATCACTCGCTCCGCCACTCCGACTACCTACCCCGCGACTCTCTCTCTGTCTCTCCCTCTCTGTCTCTCTCTCTGTCCGTGTCCGCCAGTCCGTCCAGCTGCCCATGAGTCTCTCTCTCTCTGTCTCTCTGTCTCGCTCTCTCTCTCTGTCTCTGTCTGTGTCTGTCTCCCAGTCTGTCTTACCAGTCTATCTATCTATCAGCCTGGTGTGTTAACGTCGGCTCTACGTGCGTGCACATCAGAAGCCATGCGAGTCGACGTCGTCCGCCTGCTGGTAAGTTACGACGAGCAAAGACACACAGACACACACACACAGAGTCACACACACACAGAGTCACACACACACAGACACACACAGACAGACACACACATAGACACACACATAGACACACGGACACACACACAGACACACACACACAGACACACACACACAGACACACACACATAGACACACACATAGACACACGGACACACACACAGACACACACACACAGACACACACACAGACACACACACAGACACACACACAGACACACACAGACACACACACAGACACACACAGACACACAGACACAGACACACACACACAGAGTCACACACACACAGACACACAGACACACACACACAGACACACACACACAGACACACAGACAGACACTCACACAGACACACAGACACACACACACAAAAACCGCCATTCGCCACTAAGTGGCGGTGACGTCACCACGACGCTTGTGCCAGGCTATGTGCACCCTGAGGCCACGTGAGGTGTCGAACGCCCGCTGGCAGGAGGTCACGGGGCAGACCCAGGTGCCACGGGTTGACTGAATGAGATGACTGGCTGATGCACCACCTGTGCCCCTTACTGTGCCAATCTGCTGTGCTTTAGCCACCCGGCGCTCCGCTCATTGTTGTGAGCGTCGCTCCTCCGCCCTCCGTTGTTGTTGGAGGGCGACTGCCTCCAACTGCCCAGTAGCGTCCTTTACGAGCCTCCTCCACAGAGGCCGATCTTGACACCGCTGATACCAGTCATCGGCAAGTCCACTCAGCTCCACGTCCTCCTGTACCACATCACTCCATCTCTTCTCTAGCCCGTGCCGCGCCCGCTTAGCCCCCTCAATCCGGCCGAACAAAAGCTGTTTCGGCATGCGGTGGCTGGGCATGCGGGCTACATGACCCAGCCATCGCAGCCTTGCCCGCCGGAGGAACTCACCGATGGGACCCTGCCCAGATCTTTCAAGGATTTGTGAGCTCCTCACACAATCCAGTCTGGTTAAACCCAGGATGGATCGTAGGCAGGCCAGCCTAAATGTTTCTAACCGGCGAAGATGTTCCATTAGGGGGGTCCACGTTTCGCAAGCGTAGAGAAGGGAGGGAATGACCGTGGCGGAGAATACCTGAAGCTTAGTACGAAGCGACAGACCAGGTAGCTTCCACACAGCGTTACGCAACCGATGAAAAGATATTGCCGCTCGACTGATTCGGAGTGAGACCTCTGCTGTTAAACTGGAGTCGGTCATAAGCACACAGACACACACAGACACACACACAGACAGTGCAGGAGGAGGTCACGGAACAGACTCAGGTGCTATGGGTTGACGGCTGTGCCAGGCTATGTGGAGTCTGCGTCTCTCTCTCATCATCATCATCACGGTGGCTAGGAGATGTTGACTACCTCGCCTGGTATACAGGAGGTCGTGGGTGCTATCCCGACCCTGACGACGCCTGCTGCTGCTGCTGTAGATGTGGAGTCTGCGTCTCTCTCCCCGTGGTCACTGCGGGGATTTGTCTCTCCGGGTCCTCCGTGTCTATTGCCCTATCAATGTCCACTTGATGATGATGAGGATGCTAAACCACGTGGTTGAGCTGCTATCAATGTCCACTTGATGATGATGAGGATGCTAAGCCACGTGGTTGAGCTGCTATCAATGTCCACGTGGTGACGATGACGATGCTAAGCCACGTGGTGGAGCTGCTATCAATGGTCACGTGGTGGTGATGATGATGCTAAGCCACGTGGTTGAGCTGCTATCAATGCCCACGTGGTGATGATGACGATGCTAAGCCACGTGGTTGAGCTGCTATCAATGTCCACGTGGTGACGATGATGACGATGCTAATCCACGTGGTTGAGCTGCTATCAATGTCCACGTGGTGATGATGACGATGCTAAGCCACGTGGTTGAGCTGCTATCAATGTCCACGTGACGATGATGACGATGATGCTAAACCACGTGGTTGAGCTGCTATCAATGTCCACGTGATGATGATGCTAAGCCACGTGGTTGAGCTGCTATCAATGTCCACGTGGTGACGATGACGATGCTAAACCACGTGGTTGAGCTGCTATCAATGTCCACGTGGTGACGATGACGATGCTAAACCACGTGGTTGAGCTGCTATCAATGTCCACGTGGTGACGATGACGATGCTGAGCCACGTGGTTGAGCTGCTATCAATGTCCACGTGGTGACGATGATGACGATGCTAAACCACGTGGTTGAGCTGCTATCAATGTCCACGTGGTGATGATGACGATGCTAAACCACGTGGTTGAGCTGCTATCAATGTCCACGTGGTGGTCATGATGACGATGCTGAGCCACGTGGTTTAGCTGTTATCAATTGTTGATGGCCCAGGTCGCTTCTGAAACAAGACGCTACACAGTCGCTCCGTAGTTTGTTTATGGGTCTCCATGGGTCTCTATGGGTCTCGATGGGTCTCTATGTATGTCTGTGGGTCTATGTATCTCTATGGGTGTCTATGTCATCACCATCACCACCATCCTCACCACCACCATCTTCACTACCACCACCATCCTCACCACCACCACCACCACCATCCTCACCACCACCACCATCCTCACTACCACCACCATCCTCACCACCATCACCATCCTCACCACCACCATCCTCACCACCACCACCATCCTCACCACCACCACAATCCTCACCACCACCATCCTCACCACCACCACCATCCTCACCACCACCACCACCATCCTCACCACCACCACCACCACAATCCTCACCACCACCATCCTCACCACCACCATCCTCACCACCATCCTCACCACCACCACCATCCTCACCACCACCACCATCCTCACCACCACCATCCTCACCACCACCACCATCCTCACCACCACCACCATCCTCACCACCACTACCATCCTCACCACTGCTGCCACCACCATCCTCACCACTACCATCATCACCACCACCACCATCCTCACCACCACCACCATCCTCACCACCACCACCATCCTCACCACCACCATCCTCACCACCACCATCATTCTCACCACCACCATCCTCATCACCATCCTCACCACCACCACCACCACCATCCGCACCACCACCACCACCATCCTCACCACCACCACCATCCGCACCACCACCACAATTCTCAACACCAATACCATCATCACCACCACCATCCTCACCACCATCCTCACCACCACCATCCTCACCACCACCACCATCCTCACCACCACCATCCTCACCACCACCACCACCACCATCCTCACCACCACCACCATCCTCACCACCATCACCACCACCACCATCATCCTCACCACCACCACCATCTTCACCCCCACCACCACCACCACCACCCCCACCACCCTCACCACCCTCACCACCACCACCACTACCCTCACCACCACCACCCTCACCACCACCCTCACCTCTTCCTTCTCCTCCTCCTCGTCTGGAACCCGCTCAGGCCCTCTCCGCCGCTGTCCCCATCCTCCTGCTGCTGATGGCCTCCGCCCATCCCAGCGCCGCCTCCAAGGCCAAGTCCGGAGCGAAGGGTGGAAGAGGCGATAGAGGAGGCGGCGGAGGAGGCGGAGGAGGAGGCGGAGGAGGAGGCGGCGGTGGCGGCGGCGGAAGGGGAGGCAAAGGCACCGGCAGCGGCAGGAGCAAGAAGTCACGGTGCTTCAGGGAGGCGGACGAGGCGCTCCTCCTGGAGACCTACTGGGGCAAGAGCGTCCACGACGCCAGGCAGCTCGACATGGTGCGACTCGCCCAAGCCCTTGAGGAGGCTGCGGGAAGGCGCGTCAAGAGAGGAGGTGGCGGCGCTGGCGGTGGTGGCGGTGGCGGTGGCAGCTCAGCTGCTGCGAATTGCCCGCAGGGTTCGCTGAAAAGTGACCCCGAGGGGGTCGCCCTGGATGAGCAGCCGGGTGGAGACGTGGCCATGAGGGCTCTGTCGCCGTGGAGATACGTGTGAGTCCACGTCGCTCGCTCTCTCTCGCTCGCTCGCTCTCTCTCTCTCCGTGGAGATACGTGTGAGTCCACGTCGCCCGCTCTCTCTCTCTCTCTCTCCGTGGAGATACGTGTGAGTTCACACCTCTCTCTCACCGTGGAGATACGTGTGAGTCCACACCGCTCACTCTCTCTCTCTCACCGTGGAGATACGTGTGAGTCCACACCCCTCACCTCACTCTATCTCTCACCGTGGAGATACGTGTGAGTCCACGTCGCTCTCTCTCTCTCTCTCCGTGGAGATACGTGTGAGTCCACGTCACTCTCTCTCTCACCGTGGAGATACGTGTGAGTCCACGTCGCTCGCTCTCTCTCCCTCTCCGTGGAGATACGTGTGAGTCCACACCGCTCACCCTCTCTCTCTCTCTCACCGTGGAGATACGTGTGAGTTCACACCGCTCACCTCTCTCTCTCTCCGTGGAGATACGTGTGAGTCCACGCCGCTCTCTCTCTCTCCGTGGAGATACGTGTGAGTCCACGTCGCTCGCTCTCTCTCTCTCTCTCACCGTGGAGATACGTGTGAGTTCACACCTCTCTCTCACCGTGGAGATACGTGTGAGTCCACACCGCTCACTCTCTCTCTCTCACCGTGGAGATACGTGTGAGTCCACACCGCTCGCTCTCTCTCGCTCTCTCTCACCGTGGAGATACGTGTGAGTCCACACCCCTCACCTCACTCTATCTCTCACCGTGGAGATACGTGTGAGTCCACGTTGCTCGCTCTCCCTTTTTTTTTACGATCAGTAGAAACAAGAAGATGCTCGGTGTAGTCGGCACTTTGCTCCGTTCATCATTTCGTTTTTTTTTAATGCTTTGCTTGATGTAACCCCCCGCCCCCCTTTTAAACGAAAGACCCTCTCTCTCTACCCCCCTCTCTGCCCACCCTCTCTCTCTACCCCCCTCTCTGCCTCTCCTCTCTCTCTACCCCCTCTCCGCCCCCCCCCCTCTCTCTCTGCCCCCTCTCTTCCTACTCCATTTGGCTCTCTCTCGCTCGCTCTCTTTTTTCTTTATAACTACGACAAGTGCTGCATCTGCACGCAGCCCTTCCCACGGTCAAACGGCCTCCGACGGGCAGCTTAGATCTGCATGCAGAGCTCTCTACCGTCATATGCCACCAAGCACACGGCCTCCTCCAGCGCCCACTGCTCCTTGAAGGCCGGCACGGCTTGGGTCAGCCGCGCGTGGCGGAACTCCGGCCACACCCTGGCTCCGACCAGAGCGCGGAAGATGCCCAGGCTGCTGGCCGGACGTTGCCCCTCCAGGGCCACTTTCCTCGCCCTGTATATGGCGAGCTTGGCGTAGCCGAAGAGCACGTTGACCAGCCCCTGAAGATGTTGGGGTCCGTCGCCCTTCGGGTATCCAAAGATGAGGACCGTCGGGGAGAAGTGGAGGCTGAACCTTAGGAGGATGTTTCTCAGGACCTTGAACAGCGTGTCCAGGCTCTTGCACTCCACGTATCGGTGCGCCACCGTCTCCGCTTTACCGCAGAACCGGCACTCCGGGGACGTGTCGGTGAAGCGCGCCGGGGAGACGTCGGTGGTGACGGTGCCGTGGGCGATGCTCCAGTTGAGGTCGCCGATGCGGTTGTACGTCGGTCTGCAGTAGAGTTGCCTCCAGCGAGGCCTCTCCGGAGAGACGCAGGGCAGGGGCTCTCCTCCAGGCATGGTCCTTGTGGCTCCTCAGGGTGTCCTGTTGGTGGAACCGGACCATGTAGGAGTAGAGCACCTTCCTCTTTACATTTGCGAAGGTCACCTCCGGCAGGTCTTCTAGCCGGCACAGGTTGTGATCCGCCTTCGTTTGTCGGCATTGGCGATGCAGTGGCACGACTGAGAGCTCCGGTGGAGGGGGATCGAGAGGGGCCTCGTCATCCCCAACGCCGATGGGGGGCGTTCTCCCCATCGCTGGCGCTGAGAAGGCCCCCTTGGCTTCAGCCAGGATCCGGGCAGCCACCCGGAGCGACTGCAGCCCCCCTGTCTTTGCGGCCACGTCTGCTGGTCCGAGCCACCGGCCTCCGTGTTTCAGGCTCCACCAGATCTCCCATCCTGGTGAGCCGCGCGTTGGCGAGGCGCCTCTCCATGCCAGGGGTAGTGGTGGTGGTGGATGGCAGCTTTGTCTGTGGGGTTCCTGAGGATCGGTTCGAAGACCAGATCCTCGGCCGATCGCGGTTGGTTCAGCCTCCTGATGGCGAGGGAGCTCCACGTCTGCAGGACGCTTCTGTAGAAGGGTGGCAGCTGTCCCAGTGGGAGGCCCTGCAGGTCCACGTAGAATAGTTGCTTGGAGCACTGCAGACCCCCCAGCTGTTTCAGGAGGAAGGAGGCCGTGATGCTCCAGGCCAGTGCAGGGGCGGCGTGCAGGAACTTTTGCGCTGCCTGCAGTCGGAAGGTGGCCGGCTGACTCCGGACGCACACCGGCCCGTGACCGCCCTCGTCCAGTGGCAGGGCCAGGACCCCAGCCGCGACCTCGGTGTCCTCCACCCGACGGGAAGAAGTCGAGGACTCGCTTCTGAAGTGCGTTGACGAGGCTCATGGGGGGTGGGGTGGAGGGAGAAGAGTCGGTGCCACAGCATGGACGTCACCAGCTGGTTCACCACCAACGTCTTTGTCCTGAAGGCGAGGAACTTGCACAGGCGACTCCAGGTGGCCAGCCGCTCCTTCACCTTCTACTCCAGCTCGACCCAGTTCCTCTGCGGTGGTTCCTCCTCTGGTCCGAGGAACACTCCCAGGTGGTGCAGCAGCGATGTTGTGCTCCAATCGATGGCTTTTGCCTTCTCGGGACACTCGGTCATGTCCCACGCTCCAACCAGCAGGCCGCTGCACTTTTGCCAGTTCATTTTTGATGAGGAGGCTTTCGAAAAGACCTCCTGGCACTCATGCAGCAGGGCGACATCAGCCAGGGAGCGCAGGATGAGGAGGAGGACGTCGTCGGCGTACGCCGTCAGGACCAACTTGACGCTTGGTTCCCTCAGCACCAGGCCGCTGAGTCTCCGCCTTATGAGATTCAGGAAAGGCTCTAATGCCAGGGCATAAATTTGGCCCGACAATGGGCATCCCTGTCTCACTCCTCGCTCGAATTTGACCGGGGCAGTGAGGGCGCCGTTGATCTTGATCACGCACTCCGCCTTGGTGTAGAGCAGGCGGATCGTTCGCACAAAGGCATCCCCAAAACCCAAGGTCTTGAGGGTTCCCAGCAGGTACTTGTGGTGGTCCACTCTGTCAAAAGCCTTTCCTGGTCAAGGGCCAGAACCGCGATTGGGATGCCCAACCTCTGGGATAACCGCGATGAGGTCCCTGACCAGGAAGATGCCATCGTGAATGGTTCGTCCGGGGATGGTGTAGGACTGGTCCCCGTGTACGACTTGTGCAATCACCCCTTTCAGTCGCAGGGGGAGAGAGCCTTCGTCAATATTTTGTAGTAGTCTGTGTTCAGGAGGGAGACCGGACGCCAGTTTTGTAGGTGCCTCAGGTTCTCCGTTCTTGGGAAGCAGAGTGAGCAACGCCCTCCTCCAAGACTGAGGCATCACCCCCGGTGACTGAGGCTTCCTCCCGCACCTCTCTGTAGTCCTCCTGTAGGGATGGCCAAAAAGCGGCGTAAAACTCCCCTGTTAGGCCGTCTAACCCTGGGGATTTATTTGGGGCCAGTCCTCTTACAGCTGCGTCAAGGTCAGTCCTGGTGAGCTTTTGCTCTAGCAGCTCTTTCCCGTCTTCCCCCAGGGTGGGTAGACCACTCCATGCCTCCGCCTGGGCCGGTTCCGATGTTTCTTCAGGGGAGAACAGGCTGCCGTAGAAGTCTCTGATGATGGTCGACTTCTGCTGGAGTTCGTCTCTCTCTCTCTCCGTGGAGATACGTGTGAGTCCACGTCGCTCGCTCTCTCTCTCTCTCTCCGTGGAGATACGTGTGAGTCCACGTCACTCTCTCTCACCGTGGAGATACGTGTGAGTCCACACCGCTCACCTCTCTCTCTCTCTCTCACCGTGGAGATACGTGTGAGTCCACGCCCCTCGCTCTCTCTCTCTCTCCGTGAAGATACGTGTGAGTCCACACCGCTCACCTCTCTCTCTCACCGTGGAGATACGTGTGAGTCTACGTCACTCTCTCTCTCCGTGGAGATACGTGTGAGTCCACACCGCTCACCTCTCTCGCTTTCTCTCTCCGTGGAGATACGTGTGAGTCCACACCGCTCACCTCTCTCTCTCCGTGGAGATACGTGTGAGTCCACGTCACTCTCTCTCCGTGGAGATACGTGTGAGTCCACACCGCTCTCTCTCTCACCGTGGAGATACGTGTGAGTCCACGTCACTCTCTCTCTCTCTCTCCGTGGAGATACGTGTGAGTCCACACCGCTCTCTCTCTCTCCGTGGAGATACGTGTGAGTCCACACCGCTCACCTCTCTCGCTCACCGTGGAGATACGTGTGAGTCCACATCGCTCTCTCTCTCTCTCCATGGAGATACGTGTGAGTCCACGTCACTCTCCGTGGAGATACGTGTGAGTCCACACCGCTCTCTCTCTCTCACCGTGGAGATACGTGTGAGTCCACACCGCTCTCTCTCTGTCTCTCTCTCTCCGTGGAGATACGTGTGAGTCCACGTCGCCCGCTCTCTCTCTCTCACCGTGGAGATACGTGTGAGTCCACACCGCGGTTGCACCCGATTCAAGAGCCGAATGGCTCACAGGGCCATACCAAAAATAAATGAAACTTTGAAAACTATGAAACTCTCGCTCGCTCGCTCGCTCTCTCTTCAGACTGAACTCAAGCGACTCAAAACATTTGACCGGGTGTCACGGTCTCTACACGTTGAGTTCTGTAGCTCGCCCTCAGAAAGTTGACCCGGCCATCAGCTCAAACGCGTGGCTTGGGTTTGCAACCGAAACGTCGTGGGGGCGTTTTTGTGCTTTTGTTTAAAGTTTCAGTTTTTTTATTTTAATTTCAATGGTTTTTTTTATTTGAATTTTATTTAAAACATTTTTTTTCATTTTTAATTTCGTTTTCACTTTAAAGTTGATTTCAAATCGAACTTTAAATGTTCTTTCAATCATCAGTAAATTTTTTATAACATTTTAAATTTCATTTTTTATTTTCTTATTTTTTCGATCTGCGTGACTTTACCGAAACACAGCCCTCTGATGCTTCTGATGATTCTGATTGGTGACCAACGAAGCGCCGTGCCTTCTCTCCCCCGCCACCCCCACCACCTCCCTCACCACCCGGCTCACCACATCCAGCATCCGCCACGACACCACCACGTACCCCCCGAAGTACGCGGAGGCCGAGTGCCTTTGCCGGGGCTGTCTGGACCCAAGCCGCGGCTACAGGGAGACTCGTGACCTCAACTCGGTGGAGGTGAGGCGGTCCATGAAGGTGCTGAAACGTCGGCCCTGCCCAGGTGGCGCGCACGACGAGTACCGGTACGACGTGGAGTACCGGCAGGTCGCCACGGCATGCGTCTGCGTGCGTCCGGTTCGTGCCGGAGCCTGACGCAGGTTGCGCCCTGCGGCGGCCCCGCCCACCCCACCACCGCTGTCCACCACCACCGCCGCCATCACCGCCGCCACCGCCGGCTCGCCCTCCGCAAGGGAAATCGGTCGCTCGGCCACCCGCACACACAGACACTCACTCAGACACTCACTCAGACACTCATCCAGACACTCACCCAGACACTCACCCAGACACTCACCCACTCACTCAGACACTCACCCAGACACTCACCCAGACACTCACTCACACAGACACTCACCCAGACACTCACTCAGACACTCACTCACCCAGACACTCACCCAGACACTCACTCAGACACTCATCCAGACACTCACCCAGACACTCACCCAGACACTCACCCAGACACTCACTCAGACACTCACCCAGACACTCACCCAGACACTCACCCAGACACTCACTCACTCACCCAGACACTCACCCAGACACTCACCCAGACACTCACTCAGACACTCACTCACTCACCCAGACACTCACCCAGACACTCACCCAGACACTCACTCACCCAGACACTCACCCAGACACTCACCCAGACACTCACTCACCCAGACACTCACTCAGACACTCACCCAGACACTCACTCAGACAGACACTCACCCAGACACTCACCCAGACACTCACCCAGACACTCACTCACACAGACACTCACTCAGACACTCACTCAGACACTCGCTCACTCACCCAGACACTCACCCAGACACTCACACAGACACTCACCTGCTCACTCAGACACTCACACAGACACTCACCCAGACACTCACTCAGACAGACACTCACCCAGACACTCACCGAGACACTCACTCACCCAGACACTCACCCAGACACTCACCCAGACACTCACTCACTCAGACACTCACCCAGACACTCACTCACTCACCCAGACACTCCCTCAGCCACTCACTCAGACACTCACCCAGACACTCACTCAGACAGACACTCACCCAGACACTCACCCAGACACTCATCCAGACACTCACTCACCCAGACACTCACTTAGACACTCGCTCACCCACTCACCCACTCACACAGACACTCACCCACTCACCCAGACACTCACCCAGACACTCACCCACTCACCCAGACACTCACTCAAACACTCACCCAGACACTCACCCAGACACTCACTCACCCAGACACTAACTCACCCAGACACTCACACAGACACTCACCCAGACACTCACTCACCCACTCACCCAGACACTCACCCAGACACTCACCCACTCACTCAGACACTCACTCAGACACTCACCCAGACACTCACCCAGACACTCACTCACCCAGACACTCACTCACCCAGACACTCACACAGACACTCACCCAGACACTCACTCACCCACTCACCCAGACACTCACACAGACACTCATCCACTCACCCAGACACTCACTCAGACACTCACCCAGACACTCACCCACTCACTCAGACACTCACCCAGACACTCACCCAGACACTCACCCAGACACTCACCCAGACACTCACCCAGACACTCACACAGACACTCACTCACTCACTCAGACACTCACCCACTCACTCAGACACTTACCAAGACACTCACCCAGACACTCACCCTCACACTCACCCAGACACTCACCCAGACACTCACTCAGACACCCACTCACTCACCCAGACACTCACCCAGACACCCACCCATTCACCCACTCACCCAGACACTCACCCACCCCACCCACTCACCCACTCACCCAAACACCTACTCACCCAGACACTCACCCACCCACCCATACATTCACCCACCCACACATTCAACCACCCACTCATTCACCCACCCACTCACCCACACATTCACCCACCCACACATTCACCCACCCACTCACCCCCACACCCATTCATTCATTCACCCACTCACTCACCTCCACACCAATCCACTCATTCACCCACTCACTCATTCACCCACCCACTCACCCCCACACCTATCCACTCATTCACCCACCCACTCATTCACCCACCCACTCATTCACCCACCCACCCACTCATTCACGCACCCACTCACCTCCACACCCATCCACTCATTCACCCACTCACTCATTCACCCACCCACTCACTCATTCACCCACCCACTCACCCCCACTCCCATCCACTCATTCATCCACCCACTCATTCACCCACCCACTCATTCACCCACCCACTCATTCACCCACCCACCCACTCATTCACCCACCCACTCATTCACCCACCCACTCATTCACCCACCCACTCATTCACCCACCCACTCATTCACCCACCCACTCATTCACCCACCCACCCACTCATTCACCCACCCACTCATTCACCCACCCACTCATTCACCCACCCACTCATTCACCCACCCACTCACTCATTCACCCACCCCCACACTATACCACCCAAGCACTTTGCCCCCCGTGGCGACAGCTAAGTGGTCACAGTCCGTGGTGGTGGTTGTTGTTTGTTTGTTGTTGTTATTGTTGTTGTTTGTTGTTGTTGTGTTGTTGTTGCTGCCTGAGCGAGCCCCACGTGTTGTAGACGCGGCCTGCTCTCGCTCGTAGCAGAGTGGAAGGGCATCACGCTGCCCGGTGCTGATCCGGCCACTGGGTCAATGATTCACAGGTTAGAGAGGGCAGAGGCAAAGGTCCCCCGTGTAGCCTCGACAGACTGTAGGGGCAAGTGCTGTTAGTGGCCAGCAGCTACACCACCGCGAGAAACACAGACACACACAGACACACACAGACACACACACAGACACACACACACAGACACACACTCACACACACACAGAGACACAGACACACTCACACAGACACACACACACAGACACACACACAGACACACACAGAAACACAGACACACACAGACACACACACACAGAGACACACACACAGACACACACACACAGACACACACACACAGACACACACACAGACACACACAGACACACACAGTGTGTGTGGGGGAGCGGTAGTGTAGTGGTTAGCGCTACGCTGCACTACGAACCCGGCGACTCGAGTTCGATTCCCACTCACGGCCACCACCGGTGACGATTATTTTAACCGGTCCTGGGCCTCCCCTAGGTCGACTCAGCCTCAAACGAGTAACTGCTGTGGTGTATGAGCATCGCCACTGGGGAGACAAAGGCGGCCGGGCGTGCTGCTGGCCATCCACCCCCTCGTACATTAGATTCTTGGTTCTTTCGGTAAAGTCACGTAGAAGGGAAACAATAAAATACAAAAATCTAAATATATAAAACAATAAAAAATGATCACGTTTCAACTGCAACACAAGCAATCATCATCAGGTGTGAAAACCACAGCAAGGAACTTTTAGAAAAAACTAACTTTAAATCAAAATATATTACATTGTCCTTGAAAGGCATCGTCTGGTGTGGATCAATCAGTTTCAAGGACAATGCATCAAATGTGATCAGTGTGTGGTTTTTGTGTTTGCATTTTGACCGCAAGTGACCTCCACCTTCACCACCTCCACCACCATCCACTCCACCTTCACCTCCACCACCACTACCACCTTCACCATCACCACCACCACCCACTCCACCTTCACCACCCACTCCTCCACCACCACCACCACCCACTCCACCACCACAACCACCTCCACCACCACCCACTCCACCACCACTACCACCACCACCCACTCCACCACAACCACCACCAACACCACCACCCACTCCACCACCACCACCACCTCCACCACCACCACCACCAGCACCACCCACTCCACCTTCACCACCACCACCACCACCCACACCACCACCACCACCCACTCCACCTTCACCACCTCCACCACTACCCACTCCACCACCACCTCCACCACCACCACCTTCACCACCACCACCTCCACCCACTCCACCACCACCTCCACCACCCACTCCACCTTCACCACCTCCACCACTACCCACTCCACCACCCACTCCACCTTCACCACCTCCACCACTACCCACTCTACCACCACCACCTCCACCACCACCTCGTCCTTGTTTCATGAACGACTTCCTGCCATCGTTTTCCAGTCGTAGTTTGTTGTTGATATCGAGTCCGGCGTATTTATTAAAGTTTATAACTTCAGGGTGAAAAACAGAAACACCCCCCCGCACCCCAATTCTTATTGTTTTCAGACTTAAATTAACTCGTCGTAAGTTATTGCTGCAATTCCAGCGCGCGGGAAGTAATTTACACTTTATTTAATAAAATATTGTTGGTTGTTGGTTGTTGTTATTGTCACCGAATTGTTATTTAATTAAATTATTTGCTCAATGTCCAAAGCACTCGCTGTGGTTTTTGTTGTTGTTGTTGTCACGATTGAGGACTCCCGTGTCTGGCTCGGGTCTGGCTCGGTTCTAGCTCGGCTCTGCCTCGGTTCTGGCTCGGTTCTAGCTCGGTTATATCTCGGTTCTGGCTCGGTTCTAGCTCGGTTCTAGCTCGACTCTGGCTCGGTTCTAGCTCGGTTCTAGCTCGGCTCTGGCTCGGTTCTAGCTCGGTTTTATCTCGCCCCCCCCCACTCACCCACCCACCAATCTCCCCACCCCACCCACCAATCTCCCCACCAACCTCCCCTCCACTCACCCATCCACCAATCTCCCCACCCCACCCACCAATCTCCCCACCAACCTCCCCTCCACTCACCCATCCACCAATCTCCCCACCCCACCCACCAATCTCCCCACGCCACCCACCAACCTCCCCCCCCACCAATCCCCCTCCCCACCCACCAACCTCTCCACCCCCCCACCAACCTCCCCCCCACTCATCCACCCACCAATCTCCCCACGCCACCCACCAACCTCCCCACCCCCCACCAACCTCCCCTCCACTCACCCACCCACCAATCTTCCCACCCCACCCACCAATCTCCCCACGCCACCCACCAGCCTCCCCCCACCAATCCCCCTCCCCACCCACCAACCTCCCCCCCACTCACCCACCCACCAACCTCCCCACCCACCAACCTTCCCTCCACTCACCCACCCACCAATCTCCCCACCCCACCCACCAACCTCCCCACCCCACCCACCAATCTCCCCACCCACCCACCAACCTCCCCTCCACTCACCCACCCACCAATCTCCCCCCCCCCACCAATCCCCCTCCCCACCCACCAACCTCCCCCCCACTCACCCACCCACCAACCTCCCCACCCACCAACCTTCCCTCCACTCACCCACCCACCAATCTCCCCCCCCCA